GAGTCGGCATATACTTTTTCAGAAGCTGAGACTGGACACCTTGCAACGCAAGTCGTGGATAGCCAGTAGATACTAAGCGCTGCGGGGGCTTCTGAATACAATAGAGCTGGCGCAATCCAGATCGACATTGCTTGGAAAATGCGCTGGATCGCCCAGGAAAATATGGCCTGCAAGTTTCCTTGTGATACCAATTGGGGAAGATCTTTCATCTTGCTAACCTTGGAACCCCACGTAATGTGAGTGAACATCAAAACCGAAATAGCAACCGGAAGGACGCCCAGGGGATCTGCAGCCATAAGGTCAGGGAACCATAAAGCCCCCTGGCTAGAAAGAGAGGGTTCTACGGGTATTTGAGCCCTGACGCCATCAGGATTAAACCACTGTTGCAGAATGGCGAGCAAACCGGGTTGCCATCCGCTCATCGACCGAATACTCTCCATAAAAGCAAGCCAAAAAGGAAGTTGTAATATCGGAGCGAACGGAGCGAACGGAGCCAAACGAAGATGATGTCGTTTTAGCAGGCTCTTTTGAAACTGGGATGCTTCTAATGCACTCTGGCGGCTCACAAACTGTGGTGGTAGAAACCGTTGTTCCTTGGCGGCGGCATCCATAATATTTTTTCTCTTCATACGGGTATAGGCAAGGATCGCTGGGTTCGCAAGCAATCTTTTGTTTCGCTGCGATGTTGACCATATGAGAAAGGGTAACCCGAATGCTACCCGTGCTGTCATAGCCGTCAAGGGGATGGAGGCCACCCAGGGGAGACCGGTATATGTATGGACTATTTGAAGGAGATCGTGTGCGCACTCAATGGATGTGGAAACCATTTGGGTAGGCCGCGATGGGTGGAAATGGCGCCTCTGTTGAGCAGTCTCGCGCAGCCTCACGGCGCATTGCTGAGCCGGACATGATGCCCGAAGGAGCCGGGCATTCAGCCCACAGTGGGTAGTCCGCAAAGCATCGAGGGGTAACCTATACCCAGGCGCGGACATCGTGCCGTTCACCACTAAAACTGGTGGGTTCGACCATTCGGGAGAGTTGAGAGATCTCAAGCTTTGGTGGAAGGATAATCTATATCGCCGGAGATTATATCAACACGTGATTATACCGCTTATAACCTACCTTGGAAGGTTATCATCGATGGCCAAGCTCCCCGATCCTCATCTACAGCATACACTTCTGTCGGTAACGGCTTGTGTGTCGGCGTCCACTAATTTCCTCCGCTGACTGCAGGCCCATGATGTTGTTATCCGTGTCATCCATTGCTACTCTCGTGACGCTGCTCGCACTCTTTCTGACCGCTCCGCGATTATCTGGGTTTGTCTTCCGCCTTGTCTTCAAGTCGATTGGATGGCTTATTGCCAGGAAATACCGGTGGAAGCGGGACCTCATACGTGCGCGGATACGGCTAGATGAGGAAGAATACTACTCAAGAAGAGCCAAGTATGCGAAGCAGGAAGATGAGGATTGGGAAAAAGTTGAAACATACGGCATTGGGACTGCTACAAACGGGGATGCGGCGGGAAACGATTGGGAAGGCGTGATAGGATTCTTCCATCCATTTTGGTAAGGAAAAGAAATGAAAATGCTGCAATCGTCGTTCCCGGTGGAAGTCGACTGACTCATTGTTCTGCAGCAATGCTGGTGGCGGAGGCGAGCGTGTCCTTTGGGCAGCAGTAAGAGCAACACAAAACCGCTGGCCAAAAGCTATATGTGCAATCTACACAGGTGATAATGACCTGAATAAGACCACAATGCTTGAAAGAGTCGAGGTAGGTTATCTACTTTATTTTAATTTTTATTTTATTTTAATTTTTTTTTTTTTCTCCCTTTCGCTCTCTTTTATTCGAAAAGCACCTAATATGATCGGTAGCTAAAATGTAAAATATAGAATCGTTTCAATATTCGCCTTTACTCTCCAACAATAGTATTCCTATATCTTTCAACTCGCAAATATGTTCTCAGCAGCATATACCCACGTTTTACTCTCCTTGGTCAATCTTTGGGCTCCCTAATCCTCGGATACGACGCATTCACTCTCCTAATTCCTGACATCTTAATTGACACTATGGGCTATTCCTTCGTCCTGGCATTTTGCCACTTCCTTTTCCCTTCAATTCCGACCGGGGCGTACGTACACTACCCCACTATTTCGACAGACATGCTCAGCTCCCTTGATGATCTTTCAGGTACGAAAGGTTTAAACGCCGGTGCAGGGGCCGGCTGGAAAGGATATGCCAAGCGACAATATTGGCACGCGTTCGCGAAGCTATACGGCCGGGTTGGTGGCACAATTGATGTAGTTATGTGCAACTCATCCTGGACAGCCGCACATATACGCTCTCTCTGGCTCCCCTCGCGGCAAAAAAGGCGAGAATTCCAAGAACCCACCGTCGTCTTCCCCCCCGTGGCCGTCTCAGAGCTGGAATCAATAGAAATAGATCTCCCGCATGAGCGAGAATCACGCGAGCCAACAATCCTCTACATCGCGCAATTCCGCCCAGAGAAGAACCACGCCCTAATCCTTCGCGCCTTCTCCCGCTTCCTCAACGAATTCAAAAAGACTCATAAAGCTCCACACAGTCAATATCCACGACTAATCCTCATCGGCTCTGTGCGCCACTCCAGTCCCGACGAAACCCACATCTACAACCTCCGCCTGCTCGCCCACGAGCTCAAAATCCGTGACCACACGACCTTCCTCTGCGACGCCAGCTGGCCCACGATCCTCACCCACCTCCGCCACGCCTCCATCGGCGTCAACGCCATGTGGAACGAGCACTTCGGCATAGGCGTGGTCGAGTACCAGGCAGCGGGCCTGATAAGTGTCGTACATGATTCCGGTGGTCCCCGACAGGATATCGTTGTGGATTTGGGAGAAGGCGCGACGGGATTCCGGGCTACAACGGAGCCAGAGTTTGCGGCGGCGTTTGAGGCGGTGTTGGCGCTTCCGATAGAAGAGAGGGTGGCGATGAGGTTGAGGGCGAGGAGGTCGTCGAAGAGGTTTACGGACGAGGTGTTTGCGGAGAGGTGGGTGGGGGAGATCGGGAAATTGATTGAGTTAGAGAGTAAGAGGGGAGGAAGGGAGAAGAAGTAAGAAATTATGGTAAATTAAAATGGAACGGCGAATTTTTCGGCTGATTTATTTTGCATCTGTTAAGGTGGTACATCGCAGATTCAGATTCTTCAAACCTATAGAGAGATACGTTTCCCTCAGCTAGCTAATTTTCTTGTAATTTACCAAACCGAATGCCGTTGACAAATTAATTAATTATGATTCATTCATTGAAATTTGAATTTGCCATATGTCCTATGAAATGTAATCTACAAACCAAGGCAGAGACCCCTAACCCTCAATCGGGACCTGCACCTTTTCATCCCTTATCGTTGCCGAAATGAGAATTCTCCCCAAAAATACTGAGTGTGGGCATCTAGGTCTTGTTAGTACTATACACGTCCAATACATATTTACCTACACATTACATATCCGCATAAGAAGAGTTTAAAATAGGGCGTGAAATACACGCTGAGATGATGCTTTGGTTGAATAATGATATTAATGAATAAATAAATAAAAGGCGGAGATAAGACAAGCCTAGATAGACCGAATGTACCAGATAAAAATAAACACTATATGAAAATAGAAAAAAAAAAAAAAAGTAAATATATATCATATAAAAACAACCCTTCCGGTTTCAACCGGAGTCCATGAAAATTGATATTACTGTCGGTCCTCAACAACATAGCATCCAGGCCAAAGTTCCATTTTCCTCTATCCCGTGCGTAGCCAAAGGAAGAACGAAAAGAGAGGAAAGAAAAAGACTTGAAAACAACGGGGGAAAAGAGGGGCCAACCTAGGAAGGAAACGATGGGAAGCAAATATAAGAAATGGTGATAAAAATGACAATACTAATAATTAATATAACGAAAGCGGCCGTAAAGGGTATTCGTCCCGAACCAAAATAAATAAATAAATAAATAAATAAATAAATGTCATAAGAGGCAGATAAAGAGGATACAATGAAGAAATGGAAAGAACAAAGTCGCAAAGTAGATAGCGCCAACTGGGTCAGTCAATAAACCAACATTGCATTTCCCCCAGGGCTATCCCCAGCCGCTCCCCGTAGACGGAACACCCATCATCTGATCCTGCGACGGTGGTGCATGTGAGTAATTCTGCCCAGAACCGCTCACATACCCACTATTTAGCCCTGAATCGTCATCGTCGCCAAACCCATACTCCCCGCCAGAACTAGCATCATAATTACTCCTAGCTCCTCCACCTCCGCCAATATCGCTCCCATCGTCTGGCTGTGGTGCAAGCTGGTCCCACTGGAGAGTTTGGAGCGCAGGATACTGTGCGAGGAGTGCTGCTGGAAGTGTGAAGCCGGACGGCTTACCGTCCATCGGTGGTATATTCATTGGTTGGCTTATCGGCTGTAAGTGGCCGTGCATCTGTTGTTGATCTACGTAGGTCCGCTCGCGCTCGAGAGCCTCTTCGTCCATCAGAGGCTTTATACATACTCTGCCTGCTTCAGATCTGAAATGGCGGCCAAGCGCATCAGCTCTAGCGAACCTTCGTCCACAGCCCCAATGAGCCCCATGGGCCAGGTCTCCACGACAAACGAACTTCTTTTCCCCCGAATGAAGTGATTCGTGCCGCTTCCGGTCATGTTGACGGGCGAAGGCCTTACCACACACAGTACACACGAAAGGTCTTTCATCAGTATGGGTGCGGAGATGAGAGCGTAAATTGTAAGCTCTCGTAAATCGTTTCGGGCATAGACTACATTGGAATGTTGCTGGATGTTTTTGCACACGCTTAGAATCAGCACTACTGGCACCCGGCCGCTGAGGATCTGCAAGATCCAGGATATAGTTCCGACTGTCAATCGAAGAGGTCGACTGGCGGCGATTCTTCGCTGCTGCTGGAGATGTATCACGGGAAGCTGGAGTGCTCAAATTGCCCGTGCTGCCGTTAAACGGAGAAAGAGACCGCGATGGTGAGCTCGCACCCTGAGCAAGGGCTGCTGTGGTTGGAGATGACATCGGACGGGTGACGGCGTGTCCAAATGGATCGGACTTACTCCGTCCACGGGAACCTATTATTCCGTGTCATTTAGTATACAATTGCTTGAAGCAGTGCCCCAAAATTTAGATACGGGGAATGGAGTACTTACGACCAACGGGAGGGCTTAGAGTGTCCATGGCTGTCTCAGGTTTTGCTGGACCAAAACTCGTGGTTCGCGAGGGAGGTGCAAATTCGACATTGATAGAAGGGGGTGTCATTTGGGCAGCCTGGCCCATATCTCCAGGACTATTATGACTTTGAAATGCAGCGGCAGGTGCTGGCGAAGCCTCAGACCTGGAAACATACATATCGGGAGGGCTGGTAGGCCCAAGTTGATTTTTCACATGTTGGGTTAAGTGGAATGACCCATCTTGTCCGAGTTCTGGGCCGTGCTGCTGAGGTAGCAAGCGTGGGGAAATGTAGGGACTATGGGCTGGGCTAATCCCATGATGCTGGGCCTGATCCGATATTGAGAACGACTCCATTCCTAGAGCATTCTCGTACAGGCCCGGGTCATTTTGAGCTAATAGTAATGGAGAATGATTGTTTGTGTCTACATCAAACGTATCGTGATGGCCTAGATAGGGCGAAGGGGCAACAGAGGAAACATCTGAATGTTCCGACGGCGCTCTTTGATGAGTCTGGTAAATAGGATTTCCTAACATCCCATGCCAATCGGACTGAGACTGGCTCGTTAGAAAGGCTGCGCTTGCAGGATCTAATGACGCCGGGCGCGAATGGCCTGGGGTAAAATAGGCACCGGGATTGGAGACGGGCGATGATGGGCGTCCAGGGGACGCGTGGGAATCAGGTGGTATCAAAAGTGGGGGAGTCTGGTTGTGTGGAGATGACATTCTGCTCAAGTCAGCAGGGTTGACCGACTGGTTTATATGTTGCTGCTGTTGCTGCTGTTGCTGCTGTTGCTGCTGATTAAGTTGTGGGTCAAGCATGAAAGATGAGTCAAAATCGGATGTAGGGTTGTTATTGTTGTAAATAGGAAAATCTTCAAATTGCGGTTGGTTTGAGTTTAAAAGATTAGAAAAGTTTTCCTCCTCTTGAGCGGCTTTGATATTAGACGAACGCTCGAGCTGGCTGAGGAAGCCTGCCTCGAAAGATTGGGAGTACGGCTGGGGCTGACCAAAGGGTTGTGGTTCAGACGACTGAGCTCCAGTAGAGTGGAGAAAATTGGTATTATGCGCAGATGAGGCCAGGTAAGGAGTGGTTATAGGGAAGTGCTCATTAGCAGTGGTGAAAGTATTTGAACCGGGAAATACAGAGCCAGCAGGATCGTGTCCAAGTGGATGCCCCTGATTGTCGTGGTATTGGGGCTGGGGGGAGGGTGATGGATTTAAGGAGCGATTCTTATTGTCCGTTGAAAGCGGCCTCCCCCTGTTCTCCTGTGGAAAATCCATAGCGTACGTAGGTTAGAACGCGCGTGTATATCAGAGCGTTGGACAGGGTGGTGGGTAAGGCAAGTTGGTCTGTGGATGTATCCCGAATCGATCGGGGAATTGGAAAAAGCGGCGAAGCAATGGGTCTTCCCAGAGAAGGAAATCCACCTTTTTTGAGCTTATGAAGCGGGGTGATTGATTATGCTGACAGCGAACGGGCGGAATTGGACTGGAACGAGGCGATGGAAGATCGACACCGCCGGTGGCGGCGGTAATGGAATGGATATCGTAGTCCTCGGCTGGACGCGAAGAAAAACGGTCGCTTAATATTCTACGGGAGATCTGATGCGTGGCGCAAGCAGATGTTTCAAACATCAGGCCTAATGATCAACGCTTGTAGAAGAGCTACAGGACGTACCAATTCCAAGAGTAGATCGCACAACAATGGCAAGAAGAAAGTAGTCGAACAATGCGTGTAGAGAAGAGAGGGAAGGACGGAAGGGATTTAGTTGGGAGGGGGGTTGGTGGAGGCTGCTTGGCGCAGAGGTGTATGGACCCCCACTGTCACCGAGCGCACAAGGCAATCGGATGCAACTGAAATACGTCTGGAGCAGAGGCACAGAAAGGCTATCCGGCCAACGTGGGAACGAGACGAAACAATCGGCGATGGCGTTGGGGATGGGAAGAGAACGGTGGGGCGGTCTTCGCAGGAGGATAGTTAAGTAGGGGAGATGAGGTCGAGCAGGCCAAGAAAGGAAGGTCGGCCTTACCCCGGCCTGGCCCAGATGAACGGCGCCAGACAGCCAAGTAACGTCCATGTACCATTATGTACCACCCGCGCTGGAACAGCAGCGGAAGTTAGTTACATTGGCCACGCTTACAAATACATCAGCAGTACATAAAGATACCCCTCTGCACGCTCTCACCCCCGCCAACTCCATGCACTCCCATCAGGCAGAAAATGCATCATTTCGCACAGCCAGCTTGTATACAACGATATCATGCTTTGGTGTCCTACTTCTACATCTAAGTTCCGTGGTGCATGGATACTAGTACTAGTAGTTCAGAGCCATCCGGACCCTGTGCCCTAGAGCAGCCAGGTTGGCTTTATCTTCTCGTATCCTATCTACTAGTAGTCTTCAGTCCTTTGGCCCAGTGTAGGTCAGTTGTCATGATCTTTTGGGCATAACCAATACAGAATAGAAAATCCGTGCGCCATAGTTGGGCTGCAACTCACAGATAGCTTTCTCCTGTGCAGTATCAGCCAGGGATGGACGACCCTGGGTATAGCGTCGCAAGGCATACTTCGTTAGTGTTCCATCTCAAGTGTTCTTCTGTTTCTTTTCCATTAGTAGTATGGCTGTTGTCCAGCGATTCTCCATGCAGGAACCAGGCGAAGGAATGGCTTCTTCCTGGTCTCCGTCTTCCTGCAGGACTCAGCCACAAGGCTGAGCACCCTCAGTGCCAGTACAGCTACTTATTTTCTCCTTTCCCCCGCCAGGCCCACCAATAGAGGTTCTGTCGCGAGAAATATGGCTAATTCGGCGTAGGGCCTAGCGGATCTTCGTCTCCAGCGTCTTTATTTCTGTTTGGTTGGTTGTTCTCAAAAGCTGTATTCTGTACTCCGTATGCAGA